CGAATGCCCTAAAAAAGTATTGTAAAACGTATAAAAAAAATTCTTTCACAATTGTGTAACCATCGGATAATCATTTCTATATTTGGGACAGTCTCACTTCGAATATAAATTATATCTTGGTTTAATTATATAAAATGCAGAATATATATTATTTATAGCATCAATTTTATTTAGTATAAGGTTTATAAACAGAACCTAAAATATGTTTTTATAAAAAAAGAAATATTGGAATAATAAAATCTAAGAAATTGCATTATAGAAAGCCAAATTACAAAAAAATTAGCAATATTAATAAAAATTGTATTTATAAATATTACTATCTGAGTAATTTATTCACAAATAACTATGTTTGGATTTTAGAATAAATAAAATTATTACATCTATTAAGGCTTTAAATTTTTGTTAAAAATTTATATATATTAAATTAAAAATAATAATGCCCAATAATGGAATATATTAACTTTTTTTTTAAATACAGTTATTTTATATACATATAATTACAGAGTTTTCAATTCATCTAAATTAAGAATTAGAAACTAATGTAAAGTCTGGTTAGGAGTAAATTTTTGTTAGTAAACCGTTATTTTCTTAAAAAGTACTCTAAAGTGTATAAATAAGTTACTCGGGCAATTGAATTACTCAGCCAATAATATGACTTATCATGAGTTTGATTGTTTAAAACAATCACGTCACGCATGTGGACAGACAAAAAATTTCCAAATTACCATATTAATATTTGTTTATGATACTTATGTTAAACCGATATTACCAACCCATTTTTCAATTACCTTTTTTAGAAGATTTGCATAAATTAGCCAATTACATTGTAAATTTTTATGAAGCAAAAAAAGAAAAAAAACTAAAAAATACAAGAAACAACTTAGAGGCTTTGCATATGGTAATTGAATGGATTTTATTGAAATTGAAAATATTAAAAGAATTAAGTAAAGAGATTTTGGCTCTATTTTCTCGACTTGGTTGGATGCAAAAAATTGATGATAATGAGTGTCTAAACCAAAAAAGGAAATCAAAAAATGGGTTGGTAATATCGGTCCTTATATTACTGCACCAAAAAAGAAATTTTCATGGTTAAATGCAACTTTTGTATCACATAATACATAAAAATTGAGTGGACAATTACTGTATTATGTATTTTATAAAGCTATCTAACTTTTAAATGTTATCTACATATCTAATAAATGAAGAACAGATTTAACAATAACTACAGTATCAGGATATTAAATGTATAAAAATTATAAAAATTAATATATCTTTTTTGTTAATGGCTTCTAAATTGTTTTGCGCTTGTAATGTCATGTACTATGACCCTTGCTGTATACGTAATAATTCTGAATATATGCTAAATTCTTATGGTGTGGATAGCATAACATGACTGATCGCAACCAAAATTCCGAAATTATGACCTTGTGATCAAATTGATAGCAATAAGAGAACCAATCATTTTGCGCTTGTAATGTCATGTACTATGACCCTTGCTGTGTATGTAATAATAATTCCGAATATGTGCTAAATTCTCATGGTGTGGATAGCATAACATGATTGATCGCAACCAAAATTCTGAAATTATGACCTTGTGATTAAATTGATAGCAATAAGAGAACCAATCAATTTGCATTCAATATTTTAAATTTTCTAAAAAAGGTAATTTTTCTTCATTGCCAAAAAACAATCATTGTTGCTTTTCTAAAATACATACGTATATATGTAATCATAGCTGATACATAATAAAAAATAACCAAAAATGTATTGTTAAGCTTATATGTACGTAGTTGATATAATAATAGATAGCTAAAATGCATTGTTAAGCTTACCAATAATTCATAGAATTATTATTTCATCAAATTATTTCTAAAGACAAAAAAAAATACATAAATAGCGACCTTATTCATTTAATTAAAAAAATTTTTTTTCGTCTACTCAATTTCCATTTAATACTGTAATACGTATGTATTAACGTTAACAGTATTTATACCAGATATGTACAAAGTATTGTACGTACAAATGGCCATGAAAAGATATTGTGTTACATTATTGTGTAGTAATGGCATGCATTTAATTGCCATAATAGTACATGTTACATGAATTTGTATACACCTAGGTGAATCCTAAACATATCAAATATCAGTGTCATGATTTAATTTTCAAGACGTGTTTGTTTTCTTTCCGCGAAATAAAAAAATGGTCCCACCACGAAAGTCAAGAACAAACATTTTAAATGATTCAACAAACATCATCCATGAAGTTATCAGCAAGACAAAAAGTAAAATTACAGCAAGTCAAATAAAATGTACAAGACGTGTAGAATTAAAATTTTATTAGATATAGATAAATTTAATGATAATGTCTCGGCATCTTAGAAATCACGACCTATCTAAAAACAAAAGAAAGTCCTTCTTACCGTGGTTTTTGGTTTCTCATCAAAAGATGATTATAGATTCAGCTTTTTCTAATAATTGGCAAGTTCTTGATCGACATTGGTTTAGAACTTTTATGAAATATGCTAGAAAAGTATTGAATAAGGAAACATTAAAAAATTTAAAATCAAAGGTGTGTATTTTTATTTTTAAAGGAAGGGTTATTTCTAGTAGCCACCGTTAACTCCATAGTAAAATTCTTAAAAACGTTTATTAAGTGTTGGATATAATGTTCATATTAAGAATTAGATATAATGTTCATGTTAAGAATTAAATATAATGTTTATGTTAAGAATTAAATATAATGTTCATGTTAAGAATTAAATATAACGTTCATCAAGAATTGAGTTTTCTGGTCCTCACTAGGGAAATTATTGGATTTTAGACACTGGTAACCACTCAAGTGCTGCTTGGTCCAGGTGCCCTAACTTCATATTAGGAAGATCTAATGATTCCAAAAGAGGCTTCATTACTAACTTTCTTTAGGTAAAAATCACATTATTAATATTATATCATTCCTATTTTTCGCAATAGGTGAATTCGGAACGTGATAACGAAAGTTTAAAGTTATTTTGGATAAAAATCATTCAACAACAAGAAATTCCACCCACACGACTAGAAGAACCCAAACAAAAAAAAAAAAAAACAGAATCGGAATTGTTATCAACATCTCCCCCACCTATATTTTATCCCAACCTAATTAAAGGTACCACAACAACAAAATCATCAACAGCTTGAACACCCTTTCCGGTAAAATTATGGAATTTGTTTACTAATGAAGTTAACTCCTATGAAGTTAACGATGAAGACAAAAAATACCCATGCCCCAGTTTTAAAAAATATAACAATCCATATGATATATCGAATAAGGAGGACGTTAGAAGCACTTTAAAAAATAATGTATTTGATAATCTACACTTAATAACTACATCAAAAAGGCCCATCAAAGTTTTCAAGAGAATTTCAATCGAAGATGAAGTAAAAGGAGAACCTGATTTTATTTACAAACGCATAGGAAAGCTTTTGTTACCTATTGAAGTAAAAACCCAATGGGTTTTG